AATGAGCTTTGATCCTATCCAGTTGTCAAGTGTGCACAAATTGTTGCTGTTTTGTAGGGGTTCTGTCTTTATGACATATTTAATGTGAAATTCAATTCTAAAACTTTAATTTTACAAAAGGATAACTTTATTAATGCATGATTCTATGTTAAATGTTTTTTTTTGGTAAATACCTTTTTAAATAACTTGTAAAAATAATTGCATGTTCTACTGAACCACAGCTATTTTTTATATTAGTGAAAGATAACAGCCATTTTTTTTCTGTAGCTATTTATTTGTTAAATTGTTTTTCAGTCACTTTTTAGGTTTACAAAAAAATGTGATATTAATCGAGGTTAGACGATATGAAAAAATTAATTGTGATTTTTTTTTTTTGCCATACCACCTAGTTCTACTCCTGACACTTAACAGCATACACAACATTACTCTGTGCTGGGGCATCGGATCTTTGGGGTGAACCGATCTTCGACCATAATGTGTTTTGGGGTTTGAAAGCCACTGGGACATCATGTTTTGAGAGTAAACATCTCAGTTTCTATGAAAGTTCTACAACATACAGAATGACCACTGGTCTGGGTTTGGGTCTGGGTCTGAGGTCTTCATTTTCACCTTTCAGCTGGCTGGAGTCCTGCTTGTTTTTCTTGTCTGCTTTGAGGAAAGCTCATGAACCCATCCAGAGGACCTGACTCACTGTTTTAGATTTTTCTACCTGGATTTTGGAGATCTACCAGGACTTTTTAATAGTTGTAATAACTGACAGATCTAATTGTTGTGATCTGATAAAGCTGATTCCTTTATGCTGAAATCTCTTCTTCTTCTCAGCCTGTCCAAAAGATCTGTCAGAAAGTAAAGAGGCTGAACAAGCAGCATGAGCGCATCAGGATCCTGCTCCACACTGATGCTGCTCAGGCTCTGGGTAAAATCCCAGTGGACGTCCAGGAACTGGGAGTGGATTTCCTTACTATAGTGGGACACAAGGTCAGGAATTTATCTGTTCAGCAAGCCAAGATTGTTTTGCAACACAGAGTCAAAATGTTACTGACAAGGTTTTATTCCTCCCCAGTTTTATGGCCCTCGGATTGGTGCTTTGTATGTGAACAGTCCTGGAACAGGAACACCTCTGTATCCAATGCTGTTTGGAGGAGGACAGGAGAGGAACTTCAGACCAGGGTAAATTACAGAGTATATGCTTCAAACAACAGCTGAAATCATAAATCTTCAGTTCTAAATATGAATGTCTGTTTTTACTTCTTGATGCTGCAGCACAGAAAACACACCAATGATCGCTGGTCTAGGAAAGGTATGTGTTTCCGGAGTACATTTAACATAGAGTTCCAATTAATATGAACAATGAACATTTTTATATCAGTACAGAGACTGAGCCTGTAATGTTGATGTGTTTGTGTTAGGCTGCAGAACTGGTGACCTCTAATCTGTCAGATTATCAGAGTCATATGCACAGTATTAAAGCGTACCTGGAAGAACAACTGCAGGTATGTTTTTAACTTCAGTTATAAAAAACATTGTTAGCAGATATTGTTACAGTTCCAAATCAAAGTGAAATAACTGAGCATGGAAAACAGCTGAACATACTGTGATTATTTTAAATACTTAATTTCATACAGTGAAGAAAATAAAAGTTCAGGGATAAAAGCTAATTTGGATTTTTAATGACTCAAAAAAAAAAAAAGATCAGGTGATGTCAACAGGAAGTTGTTCTATGATTTGATGTAGAATTGTTGACTCACTGTGTCCAAATTCAGAGGCCGGGTCCTCCGGTAGACTGTGAGGACCAGAAAAATGTAGCTGTGAATTTAGATCAAAAGTATAAAAACATCAACATATTAGTGTTATTAATATCACAAAACAATAAAATTAACTTAAAGGTAATACATCAAGAACTAATGGACCTGCCGTAGGTGCAAGTTTATTTCGCTACACCATTTTATTTCTGACAAAAATAATATTTAAAAGCATGCCTGTACAAATGACAAAAGCATTAAAAACACAACCATTTGAAACTTTAAAAATTTAAACCGCCAGATTTTTATTTAAAACATATTCCTTCCTCTCGCTTCATCCGCCATTACTATCAGAAAAAAATCTCCGGTCGGGCCGCACATCATTATGGGATATAGTGGGCCGGGAAGGATCCATCGGACCAGTCCTTCAGTTTGGGGCAAATAAGGTCCCAAGGTTGTTTGTTGTCCACATCGGAGGAGTCTTTGGATTTGGACAGCCTCCGGCGCCGTGCTGTGACATAAGCAACTGACAAATTCAGCCTTCGGAGGACCCGGCCTCTGGATTTGAACACAGACAATTTCTAGCTTGTCAACAAATGTGAGAAAACTTGAGTAGTATAAAAAATGTGTCAAACAAAATGAAACTGGAATATTTTTCTGTTTTGTGCTGGAAAAAAAAGTCAGTTGATTCAAGAAATTTGTTCAAATTGTTACCATTTAAAACAACTCAAACCTCAAAGTTTTTATAATAACTGCCTGACTGAATAACTTGTTAGTTCAGATTCACAGACCTGCATGATGAGAATGGATCGATAAAGCTGCTGTACCGATGCAGTAATGCATAGAATTGATTTATTTCTTATTTATGTGTCTTTGTACTACTTAAATATTAAATAAGTCTGAAAACAGACATTTACTTTACAAAAATAGCAAAACAATTTAAAAAGTGTAGTTTTTAAGTAGTAGTGAACAATATAAAGCATAGATTTTTTTGTAGTTTCTTATTTTAATAGGACATTTCATGCAAAATCCACCTTTTTAACCCTTAAATACATTTTCTTGTGTACTTGGAGTCTCTAGAAGTGCAGAATTTAGTCTCTCCTGCTGCTGCAAAGATATCTTTATTTTCTGTTTGAGTTGTATATTTCAATTCATTCAGTTTTCTGTATTCCATATCACATTTTTGAATAATAAATTCACAGTATTTGCTGTAGAACTGCTAAACAAAATTGCAAAAATCAGTGTTCTCCTTAAGTGAACTTCTGGTGCAGTTCCTGCTGTGTTTTTTTTTTACTGACTCCTACTGTTCAGGAGGAGAACTGCAGCAGTGTCGGTACAAACAACAACAAACACTGAAAGGGTGCTTCGTCCCGATGACGTGGAACAAGTAATATCTAAAGAAATCACGTTTTGTATTGCAGCACAGCAGTTTTACTGTGTAAAGAACCCAGTTATGATAATAACTGGCTGATGCTGAAGTGATGTGTGAATGTTTTCAATAAAACCATCAACCTGAACCACCATGAAAGATTTTAGATTAGTCTTAATTTTGATGAAAGAAATTTCTTATTGGGCTCTGCTGGGAGTGTTTGTTAGCTTGACTCCTCCCTGGTTCTCCAAACTGAGCTCACTCAGCAGAACTGCACCCCTGTTCCAAAAAAAAATGTGAAATATTTTCTCAAATTTGACTGGAAACTTTAAAGAAGAGGACAGATGCGTTTAAATTCTTCATATTCACATTTAAATCTTTCAGTTGGGGTCTATATGACGTGGAACTGCAGAGCTTCTATCCGAATTCCCCTTTTTTGTAACTCCACAAGTCCCACCCCTTTTCTGAGGTGTGTCTCAGATCAACTCGTTTTGGTGCTGTCTCTTTAAATCCAAACGAGGCACTTCACATCCCTCCTCCCTCCGTGTCTCACACCCAGTCATTTTCCTCTCCTTGCTTTTCTTTTTTTTTTTTTTTTTTTTTTTTTTTTTTTTTTTTTTTTTTTTTTTTTTTTTTTTTTTTTTTTTTTTTTTGTAGTTTGGTAGAAAAGATGATGAGTAGAGACGCAGAAACTTTTATTTACAAATGAGTTAAAAGATGTCAACAAGGGAAAATCCGTCCAGGCTTACATGTTGGAGCTAGAGTCAGAGGAGAAAGAAGACCACCAACCCGCAGAACCAAAAATTAGCTAAATTGGTTAGTTGAAAGTCCTTGACCTTGTTTAGCAGTTCTGCAGCAAATACTGTGATGCAGTTGTGCAGAAAACGTAACGGGGCATAGAGAAAATTGAACAGGTTATGACCCAAACAGTATAAAAAGCTATCTACACAGCACCAGAAGAAACTACATTCAACTTTTCTGCCTCTTAGAGACTCCAGGTACACAACAAAATGTATTAAATGGCTGAAAAAGTGGATTTAAGACTTGTTTGCAGGATGAGTGTGAAAAATAACAGCTGAAAGGCTACCTTTGCTTGGTGCCATGAAGTGTTTGTTTTTGCTTTGAAAAGTCTTAGCCATCCTGACATGTGTTCAACACTAGATCAATAGAAACATGGAGAAAATAAAAGTCATTGTAAATGTCAGAATCCTTGCTGTTTTACATTTGAAGATATTTATTTCTCTGGCCCTCATGTTGTCACTTCCTCTCCCAGACTGTGTTTAAAGATAAGATCCACTTCAACAGCCGTTTCCCCGGCTCTGATGTCCTTCCTAACACATGTAACGTGTCCATCCTGGGACCAGCTTTACAAGGTGATGTCACGACTCCCTCGTCTCTGTCCGTCCATCCTAAACCCCACACCGGCACTTCTCAGACCTCGACGCCTCGTAACGACTCATTTCTCCATTTGGCTTCAGGTTGGAGGGTGTTGTCCAGCTGCAGGCGGCTGTTAGCCAGCGTGGGTGCTGCCTGTCACTCAGCCAGCAGAAACAGGTGAGAAGAGTCTCTCTGCTTCATCCACCAACTGTTTGTAGCAACCTGTAAGTGCTTCGCTGTACATCCACCAGACCCTCCCACATCCTCCTGAGCTGTGGCGTGGCGCCAGAGGTGGCAGCTAACGCTCTGAGGCTGAGCGTGGGCCGGGGGACGAGCAGAGAAGATGTAGACGTTGTCGTGGAGGACCTGAGGGAAACTGTACAGCTGCTGGAAAATATGAACTGATGCCTTGTTTTTTTATTTACACACAGCTGTTTGTGTTGATTTTTACATGAAGTGAACTAAATCTGAGATGTTTAATATAAATAATAAAGCACATAAGATGGACTGATCCTCAGGGGTGATGTCACACTGTGAGTTGCTCATTAGCTAAAGGAGCGTAGGGCGACGAGTATGACTAGAAGATTAAAAGAAAACCATGCTATATTTATGAAGATTATTATATTGCACACGTCCCTTCTTTGTGATTAATTTTTAAAATACTCCTCATTGTATTCCACCGTGCCTTGGCTCTTTGACTTCTCCCATTACTGGAGTTTCCATGCCACTCCAGCTGCCCCATCTCCACCCGAGCTTTGGTGCCAGCATATGGTCGGCGCCACACAAAGACGGAGTAGGAGGCCACGAGCTTCACCTCCACCTGTCTTTCATTACCTTCCTGTGTTGCTGGCTCCGACCCCCTCCTCTCTCCCCGAGCGCTGCTGGCCAGCTGGCTGCTGTCGGGGTGTCACTTTCCTGGCTCGGAGAACATGAAGAGGCTGTTTTGTTGTCTGGAGGTTAGTGTTGGTGAGACCTTGCTCTGTCGTAGCTCCCCCTTTACGCAGGAACAGAGATGGTGCTTCATCGGGCCATCCAGGCGGCTCGAGAAGGGGACCTCGCTGCTCTGAGGGACCTGGCATCTTCTGGGTTTCTCCCCTGTGACATCAACGACGCTCAGGGTGCAGGCCCCGTGCACCACGCAGCCAGGTGTGGACAGCTGGACTGCCTGCAGTTCCTGGTCAGAGACCTGGGTCTGCCTGCAGACTCTCCGGCTTCGAACGGGGCCTCGCCGGCACACGATGCAGCAGCTACTGGGAACAAGAGGGAGCTGCAGTGGCTCGTGGACCAAGGAGGCTGCAACATCGAGGCAAGTTCATTCAGTTAAAGATCTTTATCTTTCCTAAAATACTGAACTCTGACTGATTTAATGCTTTCATGCTTGGTTTTTCCAAGCAACAATCAAAGTAAACCACAGAGGATTAAAGCCCTCGCCTGATGATGCAAGCCCCCAAGTCCTGTGGTGGGGGTGCTGACTTACTGAAACCTTTATTTCACCAGTCAAAACATTAGGAGTTTATTTACAATGTTAGCATGGAAGTGCTAAAGCACTTAAAGATGGAGAAAGGGCAACAACATTTACATATTTAATTAGCAGTGCTTCATTCTTTAAAACTTTCACATAGCTCCTTAAAAAAGGTCCTTTAGTCCAGGGGTCTCCAACCTTTATTTCCTTAAAGAGATCCATGATTAGTTGTAACATTAGACTTTATTTCATAAACATATACAGTATTTTAACACTAAAATAAAAACTGTAAAAATGCTGTAGGATGTTTAGTTTTTATAATTTTTAAACTGCAAGTTTAAAAATATATTACACGGACAGGGCCATTTTATTTACACGCAAAGCATTCTGGGTAAATGACGTGGATAGGTCGTCGGTGTGAGCGAGCTATATCCACCCTGAAGGTTAATTTTGGACAATATCTGATGATCGACTGTTTTAAATGAAACCAGAGAGCGTTGACAGAGAGGAGAAGGTAGAAATGACTCAGCCTGGAACTGAAAATATAGATGGAGGACAACAGAGCTGCTTCATGGAAGAAGAACCTCAGCTTAACCTGTTAGCTTTAGTGTTAGCCCGACTCTATCACCGTATATATGTATTAGCTCAGTGCTACACATTCTCCTCTCGTCTCGCTGAGACCCTCAGTTACATTTGGTCATGTTATTTTGAGCACAAACTTCATTGGGGCTGAAGAGTCTAAAAGAAGTTGAGACAGAGGAACACACATCTCCAGCTGCTTCTTAACATTATTGGAACAGTTTGTAGAAACAAATTAAAGATGGATTTAGTAAAATGATAAAAACAAGTCATAAATTGGCCATTTAACAGTGCAACAGATTAAATTAGTTCAGGTAACTTCTACAATAAAATGCTGCATTCTTTTGTTTGTATAATCAACTCTTACAGAAACTTTTCATCTACAACCAGCAGTTAAATTAAAGTATAATAAGTGTGCCTTAAATTAGAAAGTAATGATACTTAATTAATAAATAATATTTTTACCAGTAATTAAAGCACAAATGTAGCTCTTTTTCAGCTACTTTCCTTTGCAGAATTGTGAGTCCATCTATTGACTTTGGGTCATTTGACTCATCCCTAAGTGGCGTTACATCACTGCAGCTATAAGCTGTACTGTGCTTGACCTTTTCTGATGCATTACCAGCTGATTACATCATTTGTTGTGGACTTACTGTGAATCCACTTGCATGAGTAGCTAAGGTAATTATTTCCAGATGTTTGGGGGGGAAAGCTGCTACTTTTAATGTAAAAAAAAACACATTGTCTTTAGTTTGTTCTGGGGACTGAATGCACAGATTTCTGATCAAAGCTGGAGAGAAAGTTGTTTCTCATTTAGTTACTCATAAATGTGAGCTGCAGCTTTAGAAGCAGAAGCACTGTATGAATGTTCTGATAATAAAGTCGATCATAGACCATGGACTCCCCGTGGATTAGGATGACTTTGGGATCTGCAGTGAGAGTAGAGAGCAGGAGGTGATGTACGTCAATAGAAAGAAGACAGTTCATGTGTGTGAATGAGAGGATGACTGGTGGAACAGAAGTACAGATCCTGAGTCACCTGCGTCCATCCCTTACACCCAACTATACATTCAGCCTGGTTCATCTCGTCTTGATTACTAATCTCACTTCTTCTTGGTTTTCCTGACAAACTCCTCCATAAAGATTAAGTTTAAGTCAAATGAGTCCCCATCAAATATTGTATCATGTACCACACATGTCAAACTCAAGACACTGCAGGACTTCCGTGTGACCCGCCAAGAAGCCCTAATTATTTGGTTTACTAAAGAATAAATAAATTTTATATAAATTGTAAACTTTAAATTTATGATTCATTGCAACAAAATAAACAACTAAGAAGTGAAGGATAATAATACTTGTCCTGCCCCGGAGCTGTTGGCTTGAATAAATGTGGCTCGCTGAGCACGATGGGATTGAGAGCCTTCAACTGCTCGGCCCCACGTTTTTGGAACTCTGCTTCCATTACCACCTTCAAATCTCAGCTTAAAACTTGGAAACCTGGAAAGCATATACAATAGAACCATAAATCTTTGCAGCTGCCATTAATCTCACATGAGTCGTTTATTATTTACTGTTTTATTTTGTTAATTGATTTTACTGTTTTTATTATTTTCTGATCTATTGTGATTTTTACATTGATCTTTGTAAGATGTCTTTGGGAGTTTTGAAAGTTGCCTATAAAATGTATTATTATTATTATTATTATTATTATTATTATTATTATTATTATTATT